ATTATTATCATCTGGATGCATTGATGCTCCCAGTACGGATATTGACTGAAGTTGTCATGTAAAAACGCACTCATGCACGCATGCATGGACACACTCAGACAAACCCAGGCACACAACCAAGAACCCAAAGAAATTCATCCAGGCACTCCCTCAGATGCGCTCTCAGATTGCACGAATGCTTTCCGGACAGAGGCCACTAGGTATCGTGTGTAAGGTGTCTTCTGTCGATGCCGTGATTATTTACCTTATCTGTGACAGGATCCGCTGTTGCTCATGTTCCATGCTACTAACTGACAGTTAATATTAAGCTGTATTATGTGCAGGGCAAGTGACTTTCAAATTTTGAAAGATTTGTAATGGTTCATTCATTTCCAATAAGAAACGTGCATCAGTTTCATGGAATAAAAGTTAACATGGTGTCATAAGTCTGGTGCCATCCTAGCTTTATTTAGAATATCCAGTACGATGATGCGGCAGCTTCATATCTTTGTTGTCAGTTTCACCATAGTGATATACGCCTACGGCCAGCCTCTCTTTTGATTCAAGTAGTTCTAGCTATAAAAATATACTTTATTGGCATGCCTACAGGAGAGAAATCCAGTAGATTTATGTCATATAATTAACCATGCCATTGGCAAAGTGACACATTCACTAGAAATCAACATATTTCTTCAAGGATGCCTAAAACGTTCAAAGCATACTGATTACACTATGCCACGATTTCACAATGCCATTTTAGCATATGTTTCAAAGCAAACAGTGAGAGCTATATTTATAACAAAAGTCCTAGGTCATGTTTTTCATCATGTTGGTGAAACTATCTCAGAGTTTGTTCTGACACATTCCATTTCAGGCGAATACTGCAAGGTTTTACGTTGGCAGGCATGGATCGAAAACCCCAATGCTGCTTTTCAGTCAATTTTAATTCCTTGTTTTTACCTGGCTAAGTTGCAGTTTGCAGAACAGAAGGTTTGAGGGCATGTGACAAAAGGTGTGATGTCAAGCGTGTTTGCCTTACCGATTTCGCAATGGGGAGCACCCAGAGCATAACCAGTCTCCATTATCCGTGGGAACAGATTTTGCGTAAAAGGCAAAAGGCTGTGATAGTTATACGAGTTGAGATTAGTTGGGTTTTACGTCGCATCGGCATTATTTCAGCCATATAGCGACGAGAGCAAGTCTGTATTCATACAGACAGTTAAATGACTGGATCACTGCTGAAATCAGGAGTTTGCAAAACAAGTGTACTGAAAGGCCACTTATTACCCCAATGCCGAGAGCTGAATTGGTTACCAAAAGCAAACCTGCAAAATGATTTGCAAGACCTGCTTTACAAGGTTACAATCGACAATCCACAATTTTGGGGGTTTATATATTTCGAGTTTGAAACATTACAAAATGATTCGCAAAACCTGCGTGACAAGGCTACAATGAACAATTCACAGTCTTTTCTGGTTGCAAGCTGAGTTGAAATTTCATTTTAAGGTCCCGTTCAAGATTATTGCACTCCTAGTGACATGCATGGTTGTGGATGTGTCGCTGCCTTTACCATTTTGTACTTCTGTATTTACAGCTCTTTCATATTCACAAATACTGACTACGTCTCGACCAGTCTATCTTTATGCCCTCAATACTGAAAACCCGAGAGGGTAGCAAAACGTAACACAATGTCGTATTGTAATGCACACTACTGTTGACTTCAAGATCTATTGTACCATCTTTAACGGAAAAGAACAACATTGATTGAACGACGCCTACATATATGCCGCTAACGTGCAGCCATGACACATATCACAAAGGCAGAACAAACACACAGAAATTATGGAGCTTGAACAATATGAACTAAGATGAATCACGTCACAGTAACTAAATGTTGAGATATCAAGTTCCACGTTGCATAAATGTAGCCATCATTACCAGTAAAGCAAAGAGGTTACGCGTGCAAGAGAAACATCGCCATTTATTTTCGAACGTCGAGCTTGTTCGACACCGTTAAGTCAAGAACAAATTTCACATGCGAAAATAATCACTTGGTGAGGAATTCTCTCCTACTTTGAACAATGTTCGATCAAATAAAACATTAACATTAACGTCCAAGTGATATTCACGTTCCAAACTAACGGGATGGTGTTCTGGCCTGACAAAATCAAAGACGACCATGTTGCTAAACCACATCCATAAACGCGCTCACCTATAGGATGGTAGTGGAAATATCTTCACGTGCATCATGGTCGACGTGACTCTGCAGCGCAGTCAGAATGACAACCATGTGTTTTGTCACGCAACATAATTTCAAGAACTCAAGATTTTGAGGTGGACGTGAATTGATATTTTTAGACTTTTTGATTCAAATGCAGTTCCAAACTTCGATGTGGGTATGTGTGATTTAATTAAAATCTCAGGTACTGATGCTGATCTGTATTCACAAAGCTTAGACATTTACTACCCTGTAACCTTTGCTCGCCAGCAGCTACATCGGAAATACATAAATAAGGTGACACTTCTAAACAAACCGATGATTCGGGTTCAGCATGGTTGGGCCAGCCAACATCAGCCTATTCGCTGAATACTGAAAACTGAGTGTGTGGTGACTTGGCTTGTATCAAGGGTGTGGTGAGGAACAGCATGAGATATGTTGAACAGAGAATATTGTATTGAACACTGACAATGTCCCTTGTTCAGAAGAAAAGGCAGCTAAATATGGCATTGGTGGTATTATTATATGATTAAATCAGAATGGCGAGGAATATCGCGGGAATAATATTTATGAAATTGTTTCATCTCTACAATATTAAATCAGAAGAAAAGGGCATTAAATCCACGGGTTTTGAGTCTCTATTCTGCCTGGAATTAAGGTCTGTGCTGGATACTGTGATGAAATCTCTGGCAAGACAGAAGTTATAACTCTCGACAGGAATGGTGATAGAATGGGATGCTTAGGGGAAGGGGAGAACTGCAGGGAAGATATACCCAAACCCAACTGAGATGGCCAAAAACACCGACAGTGTGACAGAAATTGCTTCAAAGTCTTCCAGAATTTTTAGCATCCAGAGAGGTGAAATACACAATGCCATTTTAGAAAGTGGTCAAATGTAACATATCTTATATTTGGGATTACACTTTCTCAGTAAAGTACAGATTTTAGTACTTTTGGGTTGAGTCCCATCCGGGATTCGAACCCACAACCTCAGAATCAGGCACCTAATCGCCAGCACACAAAGTCAGACTTTGTGTACCCCTCTGATAAGTGTTAATTGTTAATATGTTACATTTGACCACTTTCCGGATGGGACTCAACCCAAAAAAGTACTAGAATCTGTACTTTACTGAGAAAGTGTAATCCCAAATATAACACATGTTACATTTGACCACTTTTCTAAAATGGCATTGTGTATTTCATAGCTTTCGGCCGTGGGAGCCGTGCCAATTAACACTTATCAGAGGGGTACACAAAGTCCGCAGTCTAGACTACCATTTTTTGTGGAAGCCGCGGTGGCTGAGCGGTCTAGGCGTCTGACTTTGTGTGCTGGCGATTAGGTGCCTGACTCTGAGGTTGTGGGTTCGAATCCCGTATGGGACTCAACCCAAAAAAGTAATAGAATCTGTACTTTACTGAGAAAATGTAATCCCAAATATAACATATGTTACATCCAGAGAGGTACCTTGTCCTGCTTTATAAAAACTACCTTTCACTCGGATGGGTTTTTGATGAATGTGGATGTAATAACTGTAATACAGTAAACAAATTTATTACATTGTTTGAGATCTTTAGCTCAAATGTTCGTTATCACAAAACCTATTATGATGACGTCAATACAATTCATATTTTGAGGTCACGCAATTGAGACCTTGTGGTCGAAAGAGACATACTGTTTGTGTTGGAGAGGAGGGTAGGACTGAAATGTGGAAGGTTCGGATGTAATGGGTTGTTCATGGTTCATTGCTCATGCCTTTAGCCACGGTTTTTCTGGCCAAGACTAACAAACTAACAACTATGCCATCACACTATGTCGTGACATTAAAATGACAGTATGTCATGAAGACGTAAATAGAATTAAACACGAAAACCTGTTGGACAATGTCATTACACATTTCAACCCTGTCAAGTGCAGGCCGTTCAAAACACGTGTGTCTGTATTACTTGGAATGGAAAATTCCATGTTATTTTCAGACGTACAACGCACCGCACGAGGCAGCTGAAATTTATGAGGAAAATGCATGGGATGCTGACATTTGATCACCTTTTCTTGTTTTATTGTATTCTCATATATGGTCTCATTGCTATATGGCGTCAGTATTGCAGGTGCAATGCACAATTCTCTCTCACACATAATGACACCCTGATATCAGGTGCATAGCTCCGATCATTAAAACAACAGATATTCTACTATTAAAACTAGGGTAGATATTAAAATACTTTTGATGAAATGGGATTTGTGTGCCCTCTCAAGGGGACAATATTTTTACTTGCATGAGATGTGCTTGCATGAGATCCCCAGAGCAGGAAGAGACTTGTTTTCAAAACTTATAACATTTTTACAACGTTGAAAGAAGCAAACGGCGAGGTCAGTTCCAACGTGTCATTTTCTTTTCAACCCCGTCGAGGGTACAGCCCCAATCAATCTTTGTATTTACATGCATAAAATACCCCGAGGTGGTATATTTGCCCCCAGGGGCAAAGGGCAAATTTTGGTTGCGTTTACATGCACCCACTCATTTGGAATATTCCAGTAACTATTGGCATACTCTGCCACTTCAGTCATGGCAATGGACAGGTTAAGACGGCGTCGCGAAAGAGCTAAGTTCATCCAGGCCATTATTCTTGCTGTTGGATCATCATTTGTAAGAGAACGATCCATCTGGATGAGACTTCGAAGCAGATGCTAGTGGCAAGAAGATCAAGAAACTACGATGATCAGGAATGGCTTCAAAACTTCAGGATGACCAAGGATGTGTTTAAGACTATTTGCCAACGCCTTCATCCCCAGCTTCAGCGTTCTTCACGTGTCAGACGGGCTTTGACGACTGAACACCGCGTAGCTGTAGCCATCTACTTTCTGGCAACATCTGTTGAGTACAGGACTGTTGGGAACCTCTTTGGCATTGCCCGTTCCACCGTCTGCATCTGCGTCCACGACGGCTGTGAAGCCATTTGTGAAGATGTTTGTTGAGGTGGTGAAGTTTCCGAGCGGCCACGCACTGAAAGATGTTACAAGAGGATACCTTGAAAAGTGTGGATTTCCAAACTGTGCAGGAGCTATTAGATGCCACACATATTCCGATCATTGCTCCACCACTCTATCATGCCGACTTTGTCAACAGGAAAGGGTGGTACTCCATAATAATGTAGGCAGTGTGTGATGACAAATACAGGTTTACCGTTGTCTACATCGGCTGGCCTGGCCGTGTTCACGACGCTCGGGTGTTTGCGCTGAAGATTCGAGGTGATGATGGCAGTGTCCTAACAAAATTCACAAGTTTGCTTTAGGAATGACTTCTTGTTATGTCTAACGCGTTCAAAACGTATAAGGGAGGTGATTTTTAGTGACATTTAATTCGAGAGATATTTCTTTTGTGCATAATATATATACCACTACTGTGTTCTCATAGAAGGCAGTCTCATAAATGTGTGTTATGGTTTATGGTAAACAATTAAGAACATTTACATAGAAATCCATCGCTATATATTTTTATAACCCTCATTTGAATAATCGAAACTCTGTGCAGTCACCAGTTTCTAATTCTTTCAAAATGTCAGTGCTCCACATGTAGGATATATTCGTTGTAATTCGAAACTCGATTACTTCCACATATTGTTATGGAATGACAGGTGTATATACAACTGAACAAAAGAAACCACACCTCTTCGTCTATTGTATCCCATGCTTCACATTCAGCGGAAAGTATTTTAAGTTTAGCGATTTTCTATACATTACAACACTGTACTAGAGTTCCGTCAGTACTCGCATAATGCTTCTACATCGTTTGTATTTCTAAACCAAAGTTATTTCTTTAACAACTTTCAACAAGTGAAAAAGCACAATGTGAAATTGTAAAAGTAATACATATCTCAGTTATCTATCTTTGAAAATAAAAAACTTTCGACAAATATTAACAGCATTAAACCACGGATTCAAATTCATTTCTTATCACATTTACTTATTTGAAGCAATCATCTTTGCACAAAATTATCCAGTCACAGGTTACCTGTTGCAAGAATGACTGATGGTTGTTAAATGGACAGAAATGAATTTAGCAATAGTTCTTTCAATCTCAACACTAAATAAGCTGGGTCTACGTTTTTGCTCCTCGAGTTAGACATCTCAATCTAAATCTCTTTTCGCAGGCTGCGAATATTAAATTTATGTTGCAGATGTTCCAGATTTGCAAAGCAGACATGACCCATGAGCATGATAAGGATGCAACGATCTTAGGGCTAGGACGGTCTTAACTTTCATAGGCTAACATCGACCAAGATAGTCGCAGCGCCATGATGGCTTTGCGTACGTCATTCAGTTGCCATTGATAATGATGGTGAGTTCTTCTGACCTCCACATAATGTCCACAGCAACCCAGATGTAAGTGACGGTATCTTGGAAGCAAACTCGGTGAATCGAAGGACGTCGAGGGCGGAAATATATGAATTAACTGAGCGTGGCCATTGTTTGCCAGTCCCAGCCAAATCATACTCTGCTGATCGCTGTAAGTACACAGAGAGTCATTGTAGATGGGGTTACACACATAGATATCATAAGCTAAACATAAGCTATCCAACAGTACCACTGATGTATATGGAAGCATCTCATTTTCTACTTTCAAGAAGAGAGTTCAGTTGCATTTTCATTGAACTGTTGACTTTTCATTGTTGCCTGTCATGTATTGCACGTGTATATGGTTGCGCTTTGGTACCTTTTCTTCCTTTTTCTATCTCCCGCTTCCCAATTTTGTTTCATAATTTTTATTTATTATGGTTTTAGTTGTTGTCCACTCCAGTTTTATAAGAAGAATCAAATAGTCTGAGATGAAATACACAATGCAATTTTAGAAAGTGGTCAAATTTAACAATGTTATATTTGGGATTACACTTTCTTAGTAAAATGGCATTGTGTATTTAATAGCTTTCGGCCGTGGGAGCCGTGCCAATTAACACTTTTCAGAGGGATACACAAAGTCCGCAGTCTAGACTACCAGTTGTCCGACTTCCATTTTTGTGGAAGCCGCGGTGGCTGAACGGTCTAGGCGTCTGACTTTGTGTGCTGGGGATTAGGTGCCTGACTCTGAGGGTGATGGGACTCAACTAAAAAAAGTACTAGAATCTGTACTTTACTAAGAAAGTGTAATCCTAGATATAACATTTGTTACATAGTCTGAGATGGGCATCACCAGTATTCATTAACAACAATTAATCGCACTGTCAACATACTCAAACCTTAAACGTTGTGGACATATGCTCATGTTTAACGCCCTCCATACCGAGATGGCCCTTTAATAATGACGCTGAATATAAACATGTATGTGCGTATGGTCTATTTTTTATTGTGGTCTATCTAACATTGTTTTAAAAAACCTAGTTACTAACCACTGACAGATGACGTTTCAGTAACAATTGGAAAAGAAACTAAGAAACTGATAAGAAATTAGCGGAGAACAATGACTGTGTAAATATAGTCTGACATTTATCAACGCCGAGAAAGAGAAAATACGGACAATGCGACCTGGGAATTCTCCATATTTACATTTTATGGTATTTTATCAACTTACCACTGCTGTGGAACGTAATCTGCTTATAATACTATTGAACTATTCGTACTGGAACTCACCCAGATCTATGTCAAGAGCGAGCTATGTATTGTCGTCAGTGACACCGAGTACCAGCCGGATGCTAAAGAAATATAGTCTTCATCGATCATGTTAGAGATCAGGTAAGCTTAGAAGCACAGGGGACGGTGGAGCTCGGGTTGGGGCACTGAATTTGCCAGCATTATACCCTGATGTAAGACTTGCATTACTTCAAACTTTTCTAACACATCATGCTGGCGCACTGTGATGAAACGGGAATACAAACTGTCTCGTTTATGCAAGGTGACAGCCTTCTATTCTACAAAACACATTAACTGGTCATAGCATAGCACGCATGTTCCTTCATTTGTGTAGATAATATTCAACATTTGTAACATTTTCCCACTGAGGCCAGTTGCGTTTCAAGAATCTTTTCTAACACATCATGCTGGCGCGCTGTGATGAAACGGGAATACAAACTGTCTCGTTTATGCAAGGTGACAGCCTTCTAGTCTACAAAACACATTAACTGGTCATAGCATAGCACGCATGTTCCTTCATTTGTGTAGATAATATTCAACATTTGTATCATTTTCCCACTGAGGCCAGTGGCGTTTTAGGAATCTTGTCTCTCATATGTTCCCAAAGCAGGAGTAATATTCAAAATACTGTAGCACATAGAGTTTTTGTTTGTTTCCACAATTTAAAGCCACACTCAGCAATTCTCTAGCCACATTGCATCGATCTGTAAATAATCGAGTCTGGACCAGACAATCCAGTGATCAACATGATGAGCATCGATCTACGCAGTGAGGATGCGATGACATATGAACCAAGTCAGCGAGTCTGACCACCCTGTCATGTTAGTCGCCTCTTACCACCAGCATGGGTTGCTGAAGACCAATTAATTCTAATCCGGGGTAACACGTAAAGATTTTTCTAAGTAGGTTTACTATTACGAAATGTTCAGCTGTCGTTGTCTGGTTGTCAGTACCATTTCCTGAGAACATTTGAACAGGAAAAGTATCTAGTCCAGGGTTGCATTCTGACACAGTCTTCTTAATTCCATAAGCAGAGACTTTAGCATGAGACATTCACTAATCAACATATACTACCCATCAATTAAAGCACTCACTTTATGTTATATATATATGCTTACATCGAAGATCTCTCTCTCTCTCTCTCTCTCTCTCTCTCTCTCTCTCTCTCTCTCTCTCTCTCTGAGTTATAATATCAGGTGACTCCCAGTGAACATTTCAGCTTTGTATTTATAAAACTCTGTGGTAGAAAATGCTGACTCAGCTTTAGCTTTTAACAACAAGGACTTTTTTTAATTAATTTTATAGACCTCAACTTGAAGTAAACTCAATCATATCAGAACATCAAGAGTAAAATGTTTAAAGGACAATATATAGTTTTACTTCATTAAAAACGCCTAATCATACCATTAAACAAATCTTAAGTCAAATTTTCTGTAATGTAACAAGACAGATACAAAGTAATGAAGCCTGTAGCGAAAGATATTGCAAACCCAAGCCGTATATCGAACATAATCCATTTCTCCGAAGAAATTAATTGAAAAAATGGCAAAATAAATGTCTTCAAGTTCAAAGCAAAGGAAACAGAACTGGTTTGTGAACATGAAACTTAATTTCAAAAAAGATTTTTACATTGTGTTTGTTGTCTTATGGGAAAGTTAAAAGAGGACATGTTAGCTTCTACAAGATTGACTCTGGGACAAGCAAACTAGAGGTTAATGTAATAATCAATTGACATGGCTACATGATTGTTATTGAATGATATCACACCATCGATGTACCTGAAGCTGAAGTTAACCTTTTTGGGGCAAATATACGTGTCTTGACCTCGTTAAATCCGAGCAGATATATTGTGAATTTCATTCATAAGCATAAAAGATTATATTAGCCAAGGGAACTGGTGCATATTTCTAACCTAACTGTCTTAATTCCTAATTTCAAATGACACCACAGAAGAGGTCCACCATTTCACTTTTTTTTCAGATGTCTTTAAAGTGGCACTCGTTTTCATCTTTGACATATCTCAGCATTCCAGCGGTTTTCTTTAGACAGTTTGATAGACATGGCATACATTGCCGGACTACATGATATCAGTACTTGTGGATGTCCTATCGTCACTTAATACTCATGCATAGAGTGAGGGAATGACTCCGAGTGAGTATGGTTTTATGCCTCTTTCAGCAATATTCCAGCAATATCGCAGCGGGGGGCACCGGAAATGGGCTTCACACATTGTACACATGTGGGGAAGTGAAACCGGGTCTTCGGCGTGACGAGCGAACGCGTGAACCTCTAGGCTACCCAACCGTCCCCTCAAGTATAGGGAAACAGTGTAATAAGTGTGTTGAAATCAGTATACAAGATATGCTGTGTATCTCCAGA